TATTATATATTATATATATTATTTATATATGTATATATTATATATATATCATATTATATAGATATATTTTGATATGCATAGCGCCAAAAAAAGCTGACAAAAAACGTTACATGCTTTTTTTTAAAGGGATATCCAAAATCGAAATATCTAGGAATGATTCCGGCAAAAAAACCTCCATCTCAATTATAATTTCCGGAGTATATCTTCTTCCCTGCGGGCGTAAAGCCGTCATTTATGATGAAGGCTTCAGAGACAATTAAGTAATGATACTTTCCGCTCGGTCTACTGTGCCCCCTATAAGACTATGAATTAATTAAATTTTTAGTGGGATATGCAAGAACTCCGAGCAGAATCGTAGGTGGCAGGTTGGCTTGCCCGGGGATGTGTCCGTACACGGTTGGAGTCAGTCTGACGAATCATATTTGTGGTGGAAGTGTTCTGGACAAGACCCATATCTTGACTGCAGCCCATTGTGTCAAGCACATTGGAAATGATACATGGGATATTAAAGTCATCACTAACACCAGCAATTGGTATTACAGAAAAAACAATGAATTTGGAGTGTCCAAAGCCATTATTCACAGAGACTTCAAGGAGGGCCTGCACAACAATATAACGAATCTAGCTGACATTGCTGTTTTGAAAGTGAGAATTCCTTCTGCATTTCTCAACCAATTCGATATTCGAATTAGTGGTATTTGTATGAGCTGTTTTATAGTTAGATGCAGAACTTCCTTTGGAGGCGTTGATGCCTGGGCTGCAGACAGTGAGTCTACCAAATAGTGCACCTGAGGCCGGGGCAGATCCGGAGATCTGTGGTTTTGGAAGAATCGATCCGGACGTCTCTGGGCCATTGAGTTGGATGTACAAACTACAAATGAAAACTATCAGTTTTTCTGAATGCAGATTGTCTCTGGTTAATCAGCTCCATGAAGGTCACCTCTGTACTATCAGCCCCGTCGGTCGGGGAGTGTGTTATGTAAATATTCCAAACAATAAGTCCACTTGAAATGTCAATCTGCAACGAGAACTGAATGGGTTGAAGCAATCTCTATTAAACTTACCTCAAGTGAAGATTTATTTGAGATGTGACCTTGAGGTTCACTCAAGGCTCACTCAAGGTTCGCTGTCGGGTCAAACTCTTGCTCAAGAAACCGAATACTTGAAGCCAATACTTCGGCAACGTTGATACGTCTAGTCTTGTCTGGCAGACTTGATTTGAAGTATAACATTTGAAGATTAGATGCTCGTTTCAAACTCGATGGTCATTGAAGAGATTCAGAGTCATGCGCTAACGCTTTAAATTTTGCTTCAATTCCGATCAGTTGAGAATTCCCATTTACTATTTCTGATTTCAGGGTGATAGTGGCAGTCCTCTGGTTCATAATGGTGAAGTTATAGGTGTTGCTTCTTGGACGGTGAAGTGCAGTAATGGAACGCCCCAGGTCTTCACTGATGTTTTTACCTACAGAGACTGGATTCAAGATGCTATGAACTGGAATGACACGTCGAAGGCATCTGCGCACTGGGTTTATTTATGAAAACTTATGTTAAATTTACTTTTCAAATGCAACAAATTAAAATAGAAATTATATTTGTATTGTATACTGTATTTGGAGATTCATATTCGAAACTGTCACGATCAGGTGGTGCTTTCGAATGGAAGTCTTCAAATCGTCCTAGTTTTCAATTTTACGATAGAATAAAACAACTGAAATGTTTTCTGAAGTCAGACATTTGGTCTGCCTTGGATAAAAAAAATGAATTTCCTATGCAGATTCTTCCATTCAAATTCCTGACCATTCAAACACAAAAATGTCATGTGTCAGTGTCAACGCACTGCAATTTTTATAAATAAATATTACCTAGAGATAATATTTTCAATGTCTCGTCGAACAATACATTGTGCATACACAATAGTATTTTTCACGCCTAGGACGGAAAAAGGGAATCTGACGAATGCGACTTTATAGTAAGAGTCGGAGACGAGGATTATAACGCGCATGAATCAGAATCACTTTTTTCGCCGTGGCTATGATGCTATTTTATGTCATTGTGGCCGAAAATGCGCTTCTATCCGAGCGAAGCGACATAAAATCATTTAAAAGCTTACAAAATAATCTTTGAGTTGAAAATTTTTATTGAAGCAATTCTCGACATATTGATGTTAATCCGCTTCGTTTATTGTTAACTAATAAAATCAATGAACTGATGAATTCAAATGATAAAAGTTGAGTAATTTTCTAAAAATCATTGGTTTTGATATCGCGAAAAAAATGCGAGAATGAGAAAATTTATAAGATTTTTGGGCTGATACTGAAATTGTTAAGTACCTTTGCCAAAAATTATGGAACGAGCAATGAATAATGAAATACTTGGCTGTTTGTGGACTGGTTTCCACAGAATTTCGAGGATATCGATAGCGAGTGAAGTTGAAGGTGGAGGATGACACTTAGATGTCGCAAAATGTGAAATAATCCCATGTCTTCCCAAACCCCATGATCGTAAATGCCTGAAGATTCACTGCAAGATAGGGCGTAAACCGCGTTCTTCGTGCCTCGTAAAACCAAATAACAATGTGAGCACATAGTGCAGGAGTGTTTGATTTGGTGCTTGCCCTTGAGGCAAGGAAGCGAGTCAAGAAGGGAAAAAGATAAATACCCGAACGACCAGATGAAAACAAACTCACGGCAAAAAAGTATAAACCACAATTGCAAGTAGAGTAGCCCATAAATATTTCAAAAAAATTGCACGAAGCTCATATTCACGAAATGCCCTATCCCAAGCTTGTGCATGTGTCAGTGTGAGTGATGTACGTATTGAACCTGGTGAGAATCCACCATGGAGATATACGGGCAAGTGCAACCTGTACGGTAATGAATGCACGCCGTAAAACCAGGGAATATGGCTATTGATTTACTCGCTGGATATTTTAAATACACCGCACTCATGCTGTATTAATAAATTATCGTTTATTAAGTGCATCTACGGTTAAGATACTGATTTCGTACAACCACAGGAAAACGAGCAACTATTGATCTATCGATTCTACCTGTGAGAAAAGGAATATCTCCGGAGTCAAACGAATTCAATCTCAACTATATTCTAATGTATTCAGACGAGACGAAATTCAAGCCAGCGTAAATGTCAGGCTTTCCTCCCAAGACGAGGCTAATATGTTGACGGAGAGTCTATAATCCGATCCATAATCGATTACAGCAATCATCGGCGTCAAACTTTTACCTTTCTAAACCGCTCGAGACCCTGTGGCATCACAAAACTATTCACTGCTCTCTTATAAATAGTCCAAACACTGGTTAGCATACAGGTTACCATCCTCTGGGGGATTATCTCAGACAGGATTGGACAGGTTGAAGTAGGTAAAATGCCACCGATATAGCTGCTAGCTTGATATAAATGGTCTTGATGATGGTGTACGGTACTGGGGAGGGGACACTTTTCCATCGAGACCACCAAGGCGGTCAGGTAAAGTCCACCGTGTAATACGTTGGACCCGTAACTCATATCAATGGGGAAATACGTGGGCGTATTACTCCCTCCTTACCTTTCATCCTCTCCTCGTGTTCCTCAGGTAGCTGGCGACAACGTCTGGACAACACTGGACACCCAGGGCGAGGACACTCAATTAGGGTACCTCACTGAATTTCAATTTGATACAGCTTGCGAGTGCAACTGGGACAACAGCTACACCTTGACACAAGGTGTGAAGAGGATAACATGATTACTAAAAGCTATTGGAGACACCTTGCGTGGGCTCATTATCTCGCTCTTTCTTCATCATCTGGTTGTGATCGGAGAGCTGTTTTCGTGAAATCACTTGTCCATTAACTCTCACTCCCTGTGATAATCAGACGAAACCATTGGCCTGTCGTTTGGAAATCATTAGGATTGATAGCTCTCTTATCTTCGAATTAGTATCCATCAACAGGCTGTCATCAAAAGCACTCCAGTCAGTAGAGCTCTGACATCGGCATGAACCACAACGCTGTACCGTTAAAAATAATAACAAGAACAGCCGATCGTAAGAGTTACGGTATTTGAATTCCAATCATTGACACTTCCAACTGGTGACATTTTTTTGGTTTGTGATTAATGGAGGCCGATTGAGGACGAATAGACGTTTGGAAAGGTGATTCGTATTGATGGGGGAATTGTGGTCAATCGGTTTGGGATTTGGAGAATGGTTCGGACAAGTATTTGAGGATTTGCGGGCATCATCGATAAGCGGATTGACCTATATCCGATGTTTAAGCTTTGGTATTTGCTACGGTGCGGTTGAATAATTTCGGAAGATCTCTATCACAATCAGAGCTGCTGTAGATCGACACGAAGATACCGCACGTGTGCGATTCTTCAATTTGTGAAGGCACTCACTTCAAAATTTCATTATCACAGAAATTCACTTGATGATTAACGCACACTCCATCATTATTATTATTTGTTTTGGGCCGTTGCTCCAGATGTGATGTCTACCCCAACATACCCTGGGGAGCAAATATGATTGCCCTAATGAACAATTACTCCAACATCTAAACCGATTGCAATGGCACATAACGTTGAAAGACGACTGTAGGAAAGAGCTGAACAATCAGATGAACGCTAAAAGCCACGATTCGTTGAGATATCACTGGAGGCTCCTCTTAAAATCATTAACGAGCACGGATATAGCGTGGCCGTAATTAGAGGATCGGATGGTGAGTCCTGGGTGGATGTGAATCGTAAAATAGTCGAGGGACTAGACGAGGTGACGTCGGCGGCGTTTTATCGAGTGGTCTTTAGGTTTGCCCGGCAAACGTTTAATTCTCACCCACGCCATGATCATTAGCCAGTCCGGTACCAGTCCACCCGGACCTGCCTCAACACCTCGCATTATGCGTTCTCGATCATGCCACACGTTCCCTACGTGCCCCATCAAACAAAATGGCCCTAGGGTAAATTTAAAGCCCTTTACCACTTGACTCTCGTACTCTTTTATCTTTACATCATACCGACATGATGCACCTAGTATCAATGTAACAAAATAGTTCTCCCAACATATCATAAATTCACTGTTATTTTCTTGGTAATTGTATTAGATGAATACCTGCTATTTTCATATTCACCGGAGAGTATGAGCGATCTTTTATACTTTTGCCGCAAGTATATGTGCGGAATAAATCATGATCTAACCCTCTGTGGAATTGACCTGCGAGGCAGGAAGTCACGATCCCATTGACGAAAATAGATGCGGATGATTTTCAACGGGTAGATAATAACATACAATAATACCATAAATTTTCACTTATCGACTTCCAGTGCTCATTATTATATCGGTAATATCGATGTCGGTTCATTGTGGATGGGGCTTCGAGATATTGTCGTAATTAACATCATCTCGGTGTCATAATTAACGGCAACCTGTGATGAATCAATGGAGGAAATGTGCAGTGTCACGTCTATGTCGTTGGGTAGGGATTATCGTGTGTAGGTGAAATCCTCGTAGAGACGTACATCGGATAAGATACGTGCACGCACACTCTGGAGGCGCCAGGATGGCCTCTGGGCACGCGCGTTCTGGGACCAGATCGCCAACAAGTTATGTTTTACTGACCAGTGAAACAACCAGATCTCTAGACTCTCAGCTCGCCCCTTTCTGCGATATTTATAATGGTGAGCTTAATTGTTGTGCGTACATCAACGAGCTATCGTAACTTTAGCCCGGAAACCCGACGGTTGCGCCCACATGTGTTGCCAGATTAAAATTACAAATGCCACGTATCGCCACCATAGGTGACTTTTCTTAATGCCGTCAATTGTTTTTATTGTCTGTATTGTTCTTGGTGAATGGACTTTTCTGTCTAGTCGAGAAAAGGAATTTTTCGGGTAATGGATTAGGTTTTTTGTGGGTTAAGTGGTTCAATTCGGTTTGGGGAGACAGGCGGGAAATTTGAAGACATTTTTTAACTGACCTCTGTTTTTATATCGTTTATGTCAGTGGAGGGTGAGGATTGAAATTTCTTTGACGATTTTGTCATTTTTGGAAGATGTCATCAATTTTTATTTGAGAGAATGACTTGATTAGGTCGAAAATTTTTGTAGCCCTTGAGTCATTCCAACTGTCCATGAGAGTATGAATATTTTATAACATATGAAACTGAAAAATGGATTTGGTGGAAATCGAAGGATTTAATTACCTTAAGTGTCCGAATTTTTGTAAATTTTTACGGAATAATTGGCGGGAAATATAAATTTTGAACGGACAATTTTTATAAAAAAAAATGTTAACAGTGTAAATTCAAAGATTTTCAACAATCCGATTGCTCGAATCCATTTTCCCACGGTTTTCGAAACAAAATTGAAAACATACAATTAAATTCTGTTGCCAAGTGTTAAAGTAAGACAAGTATATTTTTTCCGAGGCCAGTTTTTACTCGATATTTCCAAATTAATGGAAGATGGCGATTTTTTCATTAATACCTTTTTTGTAGGTCGTATCCTTTTCTATAAAAAATGTCTTCACCGAAAATTCCCTATCGTCCTTTAATTCTGAGATATCGGCTAAAAATTGGAATTGAAACTTTGCTACTGATTATAGAACTGTAAAAATTTTAAACAATAACATTCAATAATATTTAAAAGTACTTGAAAAAATTGATTGGTTTCGCAATGGAGTTGATACGATCACGTGATGTCCACTAGCTGATCCATCGTCACGGTCTGGAATATTTCGTTAATTCATAACCAGGGAAGGGTGTGAATTTTCGAATGCAATGAAGTCATAACCACGTGCCATTTACTGTGTTCTTTAACTCCATGTTCCTTTCGAATGCGTCTCTCCACTTGCGCGTGCCTTTAAGTCGAATTAATTAAGTCGACGGGCGCCACGCCGTGAATATTAAACGGACACGAAGAGAGGGCTGCCCTCATCTCATCGCCTTTTACCCACAACAAGGAGGTATTTTGTTGGTGCACGTATCCTCTACCTCCTGAGTCTCATCTCAAGGGGCTTCATCTCTAAACGAACTGAATTAGAGGTGTTCTTTATTTTCACGAGATCTGCGCACTCCGTGCGCCGAATTTGAATTTGGCGGTTCGACTCGACCAATCAGGAATTAGTCCTACACGTTTCGAGATATTTCGACTCGGGCGAACTTCATTTTTGTGTTTCTACTTTCATAATAAGGATAATAAGGATTACAACCCACGTACAGGGCATACACCGAGCCCGCAAGTGCATCGGGAATGCGATGACGAGGTGATCGTTTGAATTTTAATATTGGCAATCTCAATCTCTCCTAATCATTTGGAATCATTATTTGATCCCACCGGTTATGCATGGATCACCTGGACCTAATGTCCAGTGTACGTGTTTCATTAAGCAACTCTACTGCGCAGCAAATTGATTGGCTCGCTAATCAGACGCCTTCGTGTTCCGCGCAAACTAGCTTGTTTTCAAATGTTGCCGCCATTATATTAGGTAATCTAGTCTCGTTAACCAATTGATCAATGCGGGTAGTCATTATCTGGGTTTCATGGCCTTTGTTGATGTGTCTTGAGAGAGAATCCAAATATGGGGGAAAAGATTTCTTGGATTTTATTTGCATTTTGTCTGAGCCTATTTCTATTCCAATTGAATAGTTTATTTTTATTGCTACATTACAATTTTTTATTCAACTAAATCTCATGCAAATGGTTTTTCGGAGAGGGTGTCATAGATTTTTATTTTTTATTATCTAGAAAAATTCGGTAAAGTGCTACAATACCTGGGTACCTGCGTAAATGTACGAGACTTCTCACTCGTCCTCCCTTCTAGAGGTATAAATAAAAAAATAATAATATTCCATTAAATTTCTTAAATTCATGCTGGGTATGATTTAATCGAAATTACCAGCTCTCGGCGCAACCCAGGGTTCGCGACGGGGACGCGGCTGGTATGAACCCCAGAAAGGTCGACAACCTAGAGGTCGGTATGGTAGTAATCTACTAAATCCCTCCGTCAAAAGATGGGAATCCCCCGATTGACTCGAAGTGTCCATATGAATCTGACTATTATCCTGTATAATAATTACATAATAATTATATGATAATTGCATAATAATTTCCCAGACAAAAAAAAATAAATTCCATGTAAATATTTCGTTCAGTGTGAAATTCCATTATTTTTTGAACAGTCCGTTGACTATTCTGAAGATGCCAGAGTGAACCTGATCAGGCAGTCACCAGGTGTTCCCCATTCTACCCAACACCAACCAAAGAGACCAGAGCATTCCGAAGCGATGTCCCCCGTACAAATCAAAAATTCATTTCTCCTCCGGGCGATGCTCATAGATAACCTTGAAAGTGTTATACGGAAGGCCGCACGTGTGCCTGAGAAATTCGTATCTTATATGCACCCTCGCAATGACGGTAGAGCCTAAGTGTAATTCTGTGTACCAAAGCATCCCTTTTACGAGTTATGGTTGCGCGTGATTTGACCCAAAGAGAGTAAATCCATGAATGGGTGGGAAGTATATAGTCCATCGGATTTGCGTACATATGTGTAATTCTCCCCCCGTCAATACCCGGGAAAGTTGAGTTTTTCGACAAGAGGTGGTGGAAGGAGAGACGAAGAGAAGAAGAGATTGTGAACTCACGTGGAATTCACTTAGCGATGGAATGCAAAGCTCGTGTTATTCTCATCGTATTCCACCTCGAGTGTTCATTTAATTCCCTTTTTCGGTGCAATTTTATTTACCAGTGCAGCCAACATCAGAATAAAAGTATAACTCCAATCATAAATTCACTTTTTCCTCATATGAGCAATAGGTTTTCTTTTTGCGCAAGTGTCGCCGAAGAACAATGCGTATAACTTGCCAAGTGTGGGTCTTAGATATCGCAGGTACACGAGTACTGCATTTACCTGGTTATAGGGTAAAAGCCGACAAGTGGGCTACTGAATCACCATTTTATATTCCCCTACTCCATGTGAGTGTGGCTCACTTATACGTACTGTATACATGGTTTTGAAGGTAGAAAACATGGAGCTGCTCACCGGAAATTCTGTGGCAAACGGCGTGTACGTGGTGAATAAAAAAAAAACATGCCTTTAGCTTCAGCAAAAGCCGTAGCCAACCCAAGCGATAACTAACGAGAACGTTAGTCTGGGGTCTGAGCTAGTGTACCTGCAGCGGCTTGAAAACTCGCGTGGCCGTCTCTTAATTTAACTCGGCTGCATCCACCACCTCGAGTCGCAATGTGCGGCAAAATCCTTTGAAGAGAAAGAAGAGCCCATACCCGATCACCGGCTTGCCCCCTCCAAACAGCTCTGGTCCCATTCAACGATAAACCAATGGATTTTTACGACTCTAGCTCGCTGGACGCTAATGTAAAATTAATTAAATCGGGATGAGGTTCTTTGATACACATTCACCTCTTTTCGTAATGATCGAGAGCCACTTCTTGCTGAGATAAATAACATGACGACTCAACGGTCATGAGCCATAAGCAGACACATTGATAAGATGTTAAGTGATTCCAAAGTGTCCTCGAGATATTCTCTATTGGTAAGATCTATGATCAAGGAAGTCAGATGCATGTGCTGTAAAATAGTGTAACACTGGCAAGATTTAAGAACGAGGAAGTGTATCAAATTGTGGTGAAAGAAGCGTGTACCGTGGCTTTGATGCTAAGAGATGGTTCCACATGTGGCGATTTGCAACGAGAGTTGGAGGATATGCTGATAAAGGCAATGGGCAAGTGTCTCTTTAGGTTGAACAATGTCCCTCGACTGGATTTTCAGTTATTGTATGTATATCGGTTATTCGCGGTCTTCTTCTTGCTCTTCTTGCTCTTCTTGCTCTTCTTGCTCTTGCTTCTTGTTGGACAATGATCATTAGATATCTCTGAAGACCTAGAAGATGTAGACGATGTAGACGATGTAGATTGGCCTGCGAGGTGATTATTTTTTCAACGATTCCGTTCAATCTGTAGATTAAAGTTGTAATTCTGCGTGTCGAACAGGTTCTTGGGGTGAGAGAGACAATGAGGGCGGGTTCTCTTGGAGGGGCTACAGGTGCTTATGGACGAGTGGAGAAAGGCACCCATGAGCTGGAGATAGCATCTCTTAATCACACGTGTTACTCAGGCATATGTGGCTCCCACCCACATCCTTGTCTCTGGGTATCAGCTATGGATTATCTATGCAAACGTAAACCACTAAACATCCTGCGTGGTGAATGATCGTGGATGTTCAATAATAAATTTTCATCATTAGTTTTATTATTTTTCAGACTGTGTAAACGTTGAAGTGCTGTGAAAAATTAACGAGTGAGGACTTAATTGCAGAACTCTCTGTTGGGAAAAGTCTTTCACTTTTGACGGTACTGCTTTTATGGTGTGTAAAGAGTTAAAGGATGAATAGGGGAAATAAGAGGAGTGATCTGACGGTATCTCGTTGCCCACAGAGGGGTCTGGTGATCTTCGCATTATGGCGGCTTAAATCAGCCGTTTGTGGATCCCTTGAGGAGCATGGGTGTTCAATTACTCGGTCATAAACCTCCACTAGCCCACGAACAAACCAAGAGTTTGCTCGGTTCGGTATCTTGTTCAGTATTCGAAACCTTTGGCTATGGTTTATGAACCTTGGAGATGATGTCGGATCAACTATAGACAGGTGGAACGTTTTTACGATGAGGCTGGGCTCATGTTGCCAGTCTACCACTATGAAATCGTTAGCGTGTACGCCCTGTACCATGAGAACTTGCAAACATTGTCTTTTTTTATATTCAAATCACCGAATCAATAACTCACTGGTACGACACGCCAATTTCAAAATCATCTCCAACAACATTCAGTTCACAGCTTCAGTCGATCGATTCCGTGAGGTGTGTTAATTATATTCTTCCTCATCCCCCACCGATCGAAATTTCTGGGGTGATTATTATAATAATGTAATCAAATCTTCATGCAATTTTTGTGTGTGTTTTTATAAGTCATCTAATTTATTTAAATGGTGAATGTATCGTTTAGGCCCACCAAAAACAATAATCATTGAAATATTAATTTCAGAAATAGAAATTAAAAAAAAAATTCCATCGAAGGACAGTCCTGAGGTAAACTTTGTTGTCCCTCAAAGTCCCCCCTCCCCCACCCTTTCCCCCTCCTCTTCCCCTGGCCGACGCAATTGACACGACGAGTGAGTGATATTATGTTCAATTATTTGAATTGCTACAAAAGGGTAACGACGGATAAATCAATCGTTGTGTTTAGTCAATGATGGTAAGTGATTGGGTGAGGTGAATTCAGAGTTTTTAGGGAATCGCCCAGGACTAGTTGAAAAAGAATCATCTTTCTGTGTGTCCATTGTCTATAAGTGTACTAACATGTGTTGTTTTTGGGACCGACATGACCGCCACGTCCTCGTCGCAGCCCTGGATAACGCAGAGAGCGGTGTATTAATATCCATGCCCTAACCTAATTGTTTTCCTTTAAAATGGCGTCCGGATCTTTAATTAGGTGATGGAAACCCACCCACTTAAATTATACGGGATCTACTGCGCACTCCGTGCGCCGAATTTGAATTTTGACTTCGGATTCGGGTTGACCAATAGGGAATCAGCCTTACGAGTTTCGACTCAGGCGAACTTCATTTACCTATCTCTGCTTTCATGATAAGGAACATCCGGAATGGCTTGGTGGACCTAAACTAGATAATCACCGGAATTTTTTGTTTATTTATTTATCGTTGTCGTATAATTGAGAAATTGAATTTTTGAAAATTCACGGGGATTATGCAATTTTTTTTTCACTAATTGGGAGGAATGACTATTTTTTTTTCAGATTTTATAGAATTTTTAAGCGATTGAAAAACATTTTTTGTGTTTAGAGAAAAATTAGTTGCCCACTGGGATTATCAGTGGATTTATCACTCCAGGCTATAGCCTTTCGAATCCAGTCTTTATATTTGTAAACATTTGTGAAGACCTGTGGAGTTCCATCAGAACAATTTCGGCCCCAGGAAGCAATACCGATTGCTTGATTTCCGTGAACCAGAGAAGCACCACTATCTCCCTGAAATGAAAAAAATCCTGTTAAAAATGTCTGGAAATTCCAATCATAATTTAATTTCAATGCGATCAGTTTGTATTCAATTTCAGTTGAAAACTTTCACCAAATTTGAAATTCATGTAAAAAACTCGAGACGATTGGATATTTCGTGTTGAACCATCACTGATTTTTCAATGAAAGCTCGCATTTTCGTAATTATCCAGAAAATTAAACATCAAATACTATTCCATTTTGGCTCAATCGATAAAATTAGTACGTGAGTTTTCAACTCTTTCAAGGTCAAATTAACTAATTTGTCAGTGAAAAATTGTACACAAATGTCCCATCACATTGGCATCATGAAAAACTTCAAGTTCTTTCACTTGAAATCAAAAATGTAATTTTCTAACAGTGAGGGGGAGTGATTAACTGACTAGTATCAAAGAAGAGAATAAAAAGTTTATTGAAAGAAGTGAAAGTTGAAATACTAACATAACATATACCCTGACCGACGTCGTTGACAGCACAGATGTGCTTAGCGTGGACGTGATTGGGTAGAAGTCTTTGGCATTCAGCTAGTCCGATAGTCCTCGTTCTCAGTTTTTTCAGCTTTGCTGACAGCTCCAGAGCATTTGGACGGACTCTTCCCCAACCGCATATCGTTGCACTGGTATCAGCCTCGGTACTTTTATCTGGAAGACTGATTGGCTGGGAATCAGGCATCAAGTCCAAAGGCATTTCCCCAACCAACTGCAAAGTACAGATTATGAAAAATTATAAAATGTGAATAATCGTTCAGACAATTTCACTTGACAACCTGATAATTTCACCTTGACCACAGCGATGTCCGCCAAATTACAGATATTGTTATGTTGACCGCTTCTGAAATCTTTAGGAACAATAATTTTGGAGACCTGGAAGACATTGAACCTGTACAACCAATGAGTGGTGTTGGTGATTATCTGAAAACCGGAGCGAAATCGTTCATTTTCCCTTGTGACACAGTGCGCTGCTGTCAGAATGTGGCTTTTGTCCAGAATACTTCCTCCGCAGCCATCGCCTTTGGGAGTAAGAAGTCCAACTGCATGTGGGCACTCCCTCCGTCGGACGTACTTGCCACCGACAATTTTAGCTGGTGCTCTTGCGTACCCAACTGATAAGAATTATCATATAATTGATGTATATCAAGTCGGAATATACTTTTGGAGACCAGGAAAGGTCGAACACTAGTCTAAAGAATTTCATCCATTCTTATGATATTTCTCGATACAGGTGATTAAACTGTACTTCCTCCAACAAATATATAATTATCAAACAAGAATTCAATCATTCAGTTAATAGCAGTGAATGGAAGAAATGGCTAGAAGCCGGATAGCTCAGGGTCCCGGGTTCAAACCCCGGTCTGGACTATCCATTTTTTCAGTAATTTTTCTTGCAAAAAAATAATTTAAAGGAGAAATAAAAATAATTTATATGGAGAATTATCCTGTTCCCCTTCCTACCTCATCCAAATCCTCTCCAACGACTCCTGTGACGTCACAAATAGAATGTGGAACGCTATATAAACTTCCCTTCTAAGATGTAAAAATAGAGAAAGGACTTCCTTGGAACTTACCCGAAATGAAAACCGCTAGGTACAATATCCAGAATTCATACCGTTTGTAGCTCATTACGATAATGAGGGGTTCATGACCCGTTCTTATATACCCCGCCAAACAGCGATTTCTCGTTGAGCAGGTGTCTTCTGTTTGCTGGCTATAGCTTATCAATTGATATTCATATCATTTTTCTTAAGGCTTCCACTGATTAATTGTTTCATTACTGTAGAGTGACCGCGTAGCTAGTGAATAGAACCTTTTTAGTCATCTAATTGATGGAAGGAAATTCCAACAATTTGTAACTATTCATTTCAACTGAATTCAATTGTAAAAAAAAGATGAATTTGTTTATATCGTATTGATATTATAAAATACATTGTAGGAATAATTATCGGCTGGTTTTAAAATAAAGATTGAGAGATACTATAGATGAATGAGTAATTGATTTTATTTGATCAGGTTTGAGGAAAAACACCTGTTCGAATATTTCGATCTATTTCGATCTTGAAAACGGCACGGTATTTACTGGGGGTTCATCATACATATGGCATACAGATCAATTGAGTAATTGAAGTAATTGAGTGTTAGATGTTAAATGATAATTGATTTTTCAATTAACGTTTGAATATTCAAATGGAACTGAATTTTTAACATTAAAAAAAATGAAATAATTGGGCAATGAAGAATTTAACAGAAATTTCATGTCACGACCGGTAAAAATTGTCGGTACACGGAGAGAAATATTTAGTAAAAATTACGGAACTTCCAGTTCACTTACCGATTACGGAGTTGATTCGAAAAATTTAAGTGACGGTATCGTTATTTTTCACCGATAATTCAGATAAAAATTACGGAACACCGCGAAGAAATTCCGTGACTTTAGATAAAAATTACGTGACAGTTCCGTAAAATTTCCGACAACCACATTTCGCTCCAGAATTACGGAAAATACACGTAATTTTTATTGAATATTTCTCTCAGTGTAGAATTACCGATAAGCCTTGAAAGATCGGTGGGAATGACTGGGTGTCCTCAGCACCTGTTAACAAGTCCATCTTCGAAATATCCCTCACATCCTCACCCACCCACGAATCCTCAATCTTTATAGGATGGTCTTGAGACTGGCACATTTTAACGATCGAGATGACCCGAAGCCAGTGGCTTCGTGTGAGGTAACGGCATAAAATCCCAAGATCTTACTTATGCACGCCAAAGGTAATCTCTTTGGGGAGAAACCCTCTTCTCTCATCTCGCTGGTTACCCAAGCGCCACATTTCTTTCACTTGGCAAATGTGGAGAAGAAAAGAAATGAGAAGAGGCTAACTGTCGTACGAATAAGGAGATTCCTCCTCACCAGAGAGGTTTAACGCGTCGCGACGTTTATGGATTTTGAAAATGACCTCTGGTCTCGCATTTTGGAATATTGTTTCGGAGTTTCCAGGTGGTCTTTTAAGTATTGACAGATATTGAATAGAGGCTCTGGCTCACTTTGGTACACCATTATGATTTAATTCATTGACGTTTCTTTAATAAACTCAATACTGAGAAAAAAATCATGCGTACCGGGCTCGAGTTTTTACGATAATCGTTATGGTTGCCTTCAATTTTAACGAAATAATCATATGGCGTATAATTTTTAACATTCTTTTGCAACAATGCTGGAAATTTGGGACGTAAACGAGAGGTGGGCTTTTGGCGGTTCGTTGAAATATCGAAATTCCTTGGGTGATGCTGAGAAATGGCGATAATTGAGGTCATTTAGTTGGCAATTGCAGCACATCAATACAGTCTTTCATGTCAAATCACGAGGTGCGTTGATTTATCTTCGACATTTTCGAAGATGAATAAATGTGCCGGGGGAGGGGCACCGTGGAGTCGTAAAAATATTTTGTCCAATGTTATTATTTTGGAATTCCAATTGTCGGAGGTTAAATGGTTTTGCTCTCGATGTAATACTCTCTGGCAATCAATCAGCATTTTTTTTATTCTCCTTCGTTAATCATCGTTATTTCCTTCATCACCCCGGGAATGATGCTAGTCGGTCAGAAATTGCAGCTAGGATTTCACGAGTAACCTTCAACGAGACTGCGAAAGTGTTGCAGACTAATTTTTTGGCAGACATATAACAATCAATCAATCATCGAATACCAATTTTCCATTTCTAGAGATTGAAAGTATGAAAGTTGAGATTACGCAATCCAGATCTAGTTCAAGATCCCCAAAGTGTCATTATCCTTCCCTTTTAAAAAAAAGCATGTAATGTTTTTTGTCAGCTCTTTTTGGCGCTATGCATATCAAAATATATCTATATAATATGATATATATATATAATATATACATATATAAATAATATATATAATATATAATATATATTATAACATATATATATATAAATTATATTAATTTTTTTTTATATAAATTTTTAGACTTTTTTCTATCTTCTTTTTGAAATTCTATATATGTATATATTACATTGGAAATATATAAATATATATATATTCCAATGATAACACCCCATACGTGGACGATTTGGCGCGCATAGCGCGCTATATACGCTAGTAAAAGGAAAAAAAGTAATCATTATTCCATTATGCGCAATGCCCTCGAAGACCTGAAATTTTTGGTACGCAGATATCATAAAATCCTGTCCTATTTTGATATCTCAATTTCTCCAAACAAATAGCCGAGAAATGCCGGAAAATTTCTTCCAATCTTTGGATATCCGCCCACAAACCTGAAAGTATACGTTAATCAACCCAGCGTGTTGGTACACGCGTGGGCACACGACCTGATCCACCACATCTTCCCCGACAACTAGCATGACCTCCAAAGAGTGACATTTTTTTTTTTCCACCAATACGAGGTGAAAAGCCCGAAGAAATGATGAAATTTCAAAAGATATAATAACAGGAGGAACGAGCGACGAAAAGAAATTCTATAGGAAAAGGCGGGCAACAAACTTTTACGATCGAGCATAAAATCGTGCGCCAGACATTTTCATTCGCTCTTCACATCTCTCCTGGTGGTTCTCGTATTATAAGTGCAGTGATACGAGGTGAGATTTCCCAATGGTGTTGAGACAACTTTTATTCCTTGTTTGTTCTCGTTGTATAAACACAGTTGTTCGCAGTATATTTCCCAGTGAAAAATAAATGAGACGTTGGAAGGGGAAAAATGATAATCAAATCACGAGGAAGCCATTCAATCTTTCGTGTACCAGGTGGGAGGCCTTTGTGCATTATATCCCAATGGTCCTAACCCCGGTGGAGATGCCCTTCAGCCAGCACCTAACCGTTTGGTATATGGCATACCCAATGTTATGGGCTGCCTCGAGCCCTCTTTGCACCATTTCCCTATGAGTTACCGTGTTTGTTTAATCGAATAGAATACATTAACCCACGCCGTGTTGAGGTACACTCACAGATACCGTCGTATCGTTGTCCTCCTGGGGGTATTGGAGTCCATGGTAACGGTCCCGGGTGGCTGCTGGATCCTTTTCAATGCGAGACCTCTGATACACAAGTGCCACAATGAAGATAACATTCCAAATTTTTATCACGTTTTCCTTGTGAGAACAACTATTGTCTTCTACTCACTGCTAATCATTATTTCTTTCAATCTCATGGGATTTTTAGGTCGGTCAAGGATATTATACTTGAGATCCATTTATTTTAGGTGATCATTTTGTGGATTTTCGTTTTTATTCGGAAATCATTTTTTGCATCGTCAGAATTCTGTAGAATCTAATAAAAAATTTATTAGATTCAAGTGTTTCATTACTTGGGAAATATTTGGGAACTGAGAATTTTAGTTTAATTGTTAAAACAAAATCATCTAAATATATTTTTCAAAATTTGTGGTGAATTTGTTTTGTTTGTGAATTTATTTCTGAATTTCATTTTCGATATAAAAAGTTCCACCAACTTTACGTGACATATTCACATCAATTTCATTTCGATAATTCCCTGATTAGAAGGCAATTATCATAACGATAATTTCTCAATAACTCGTTAATTATTTTCCGCCGAAATCAGGACTGAAAAAAAATCCTCTGCCGTCGTATAATTTCCTTCATGTTTACCAGCGGAGCGACGATCGGTATAAGTTGAGATAACTAGACACTTGACTAAATTTCTCACAACCAATTGGCAAGTGTTGGATCCATCAATAAACCATGAAATTCCAGAGGCATGATTCTAATTTGTACCATGAAATGAAGGAAAATGTGAAAAATCTTAATGACCAATTGGCGCGAAAATGCGAATTACCATTCGTACAATTTATCTCGTCACCACAGCGCGAAATCACGTTCCCCCGCGGGTGACATCGATAAATCAGCGCTATCGTACCCTACCATCGGCATTAATCACTATAATGATCCAGCGCGTTTGCGCTCTACAGTTAGCCCCCACCATGAATACCTCCACTACCTGTATTCAACGGTATGCTCCAGTGTGTGACAAGGATCCAAATACACCAAGCGCCATCCAACGTACACCAGTCTCTTCAAGTGGCCAATGGTTGTGGAGTACTTGCTGCACGGAGACCGTGGGTCAACGGATTCATTATCAAGTTGTTATCTGGCGTTTTAAAAAATTCACTGGACACGTTACCTTCTACTTATCCTATGCCTTTGCTCTCTGCCTCGCTTCACCACCGTTGTCTTCTCGCTGGCCTGCCTGCCACCCGTGTTGGTTTCTCCCTGGTACTACGAATGCCGATCTAACGATGTTTGATGATCCTGCTGGCTTCAAGTATATAAGCACGTGCTCCTAGTTCACCGTCTCTGGCTCTACCTCTACCAACTCTCTTCTCTTATCCTTAACATCACAAAAAATTCATCCGCCAAATGTGCGCTCAGAAAAAAAATTAGTCTCGCAACCCTATCTACAAGTTCTTTTTTTTTTCTCTCGTTATATGCTTCAGATGGAATTAAAAAAAAATTATTATTGAAAATGGGAAATTAAATAAAGTACCTGCAGGACAGCCATTTCGGTTCATTCATCGTGCCCAAATTTCCTCGGTTTTTTTTTTAAATTTAACACACTAAAAGAATGAAATGCAATTTTTTC